GAAAACCTTCAAACAAGAGTATTAGAGAGGAACTATATAAAACAACCAGAGAAAAATTAATAAAATGACAATAAGTACATACCTATCAACAATGACCTCACATGTAAATGGACTGAATGCACCAACCAAAAGACACAGAATGGCAGAATGAATAAAAGAAAAAAACCCATCTATATGCTGCATAGAAGAGACTCATTTCAGACCCAAAGACATACACAGACTAAAAGTGAAGGGATGGAAAAATATATTTCATGCAAACAATAGGGAGCAAAAAGCAGGAGGAGCAGTACTTAGACAAATTAGATTTTAGAACAAATTAAATAACAAAAGACAAAGAAGGACATTACACAATGAAAATGGGGTCAGTCCAATAAGAGGATATAACCAGTATAAATATCTATGTACCCAACATAGGAGCACCTAAATATGTAAAACAAATACTAAGAGAATTAAAGGGGGAAATACATGGCAACAGCTTTACTTTGGGAAATTTTAACACACTACTCACATCAATAGATCAACCAGACAGAAAATAAATAACAGAGGCACTGAACAACTAATTAGATCAGATGGACTTAACAGAAACCTACAGAACACTTTACCCAAAAGCAGCAGGAAACACATTTTTCTCAAGTGAACATGGAACATTCTCCAGAATAGGTCACATACTAGGCCACAAAAAGAGCCTCAATAAATTTTTAAAAATTGAAATTGTATCATGCAGCTTCTCAGACCACAATGATATGAAACTAGAAATAAATTACACAAAGAAAACAAAAAAGCCCACAAACACATGGAGACTAAACATGCCTCTAAGTAATCAAAGATAAATGAAAAAATTAAAGTAGAAATAAGCAATACATGGAAACAAAGGAAAAAACAACACTCCAAAATTTGTGGGACACTGTAAAAGTGACACTAAGAGGGAATTACATAGCAAGACAGGCTACCTCAAGAAATAAAAACAATCACAAACAGTCTAAACTCACAATTAAAGAAACTAGAAAAAGGAGAACAAATGAAACCCAAATTTAGTAGAAAGAGAGACATAATAAAGATCAAAGCAGAAAGAATCAAAATAGAGAAGAATAAAATAGAAAAAAAACAAAACAAAACCAAGCGCTGGTTCTTTGAGAAATAAACAAAATAGATAAACCCCTAGCTAGACTTACCAAGGAAAAAAGTGTACACACATATACAAAATCAGAAATGAAAAAGGAATAGTCATAACAGATAACCACAGAAACACAAATTATTAGAGAATATTATGAAATCACATGCCAATAAATTGGACAACCTAGAATGGACAAATTCATAGAAAAATACAACCCTCCAAAACTGACCCAGGGAGAAATAGAAAATCTGAATACACCAATTACCAGCAATGAAATTGAACTGGTAATCAAAAAACTCCCAGCAAACAAAAGTCCAGACCCAGACGGCTTCACAGCTGAATTCTACCAAACATTTAAAAAAAGAGCTAATACCCATCCTTCTTAAAGTATTCCAAAAAGTAGTAGAAAAGGGAATACTTCCAAACTCATTCTATGAAGCCAGTATCACTTTAAGTCCAAAATCAGGCAGAAACATTACAAAAAAGAAAATTATAGACCAACATCCCTTATGAACATAGATGCAAAAATCCTCCAGATATTAGCAAACAAAATTTAAAAATACATCAAAGGGATCATTCATCATGACCAAGTGGGATTTATTCCAAGGATGCAAGGATGGTATAACATTCATAAATCAATGTGATACATCACATTAACAAAAAAAGGATAAAACTTTATGATCACCACAATAGATGCTGAAAAAGCACTTGACAAAATTCAACATTCTCATGATAAAAACTCTCAACAAAGGGGGCATAGAGAGAACATACATCAACATAATAAAGGTCACATATGACAAACCCTCAGCTGTCATCATACTCAATAGAGAAAAGCTGAAAGCTTTTCCTTTATTTATGAGACTAGGGCCAAGATAAGGATGCCCACTCCCACCACTTTTACTCAATATAGTACTGGAAATCCTAGCTACAGCAATCAGACAAGAAAAAGAAATAAAAGGCATCCAAATTGGTAAGGAAGAAGTAAAACTGTCAATATTTGCAGAAAACATGATACTACATAAAGAAAACCCTGAAGACTCCAACAAAAAAATGTTAGAACTAAAAAACATATTCAGAAAATTTGCAGGACACAAAATATACTGAAATCTGTTCTATCAAATCTGTCAGTACACAGTAATCTGTTACACTCCTATATACTAACTACAAACTAGCAGAAAGAGAAATTAGGAAATCAATTCCATTTACAGTTGCATCAAAAAGAATAAAATTTCAAGGAATAAGCCTCTCCAAGAAGGTGAAAATACCTGTACTCTAAAACTATAAAACACTGATGAAAGAAATTAAAGATGACACAAATAAATGGAAATCTATCCCATGCTCATGGATAGAAAGAATATTGTTAAAATGGCTTTCCTGCACAAAGTAAATTACAGATTCAATGCAATCCCTATCAAAATACAAATGGCATTTTTCAATGAACTAGAGCAAATAATCCTAAAATTCATATGGAACCACAAGACCACAAATAGGCAATGCAATTTTAAAATCAGGTATACTATACTCCCTGACTTCAAGCTATACCAAAAAGCTACAGTGATTAAATCAGTATGATGCTGGCACAAGAACAGACTCTTAGACCAACGGAACAGAACAGAGAGCCCAGAAGCAAACCCATGCATATATGGTCAGTTAATATAGGATAAAGGAGCCATGAATATACAAGTGGGGGAAAGACAGTCTCTTCAATACATGGTGTTAGGAAAATTGAACAGCCACATGTAAAACAATGAAACTGGATTACTGTCTTATGCCATACATAAAAGTAAAATCTAAATGGATTAAAGACCTAAACGTGAGACATGAAAAGCATAAAACTCTTCAAAGAAAACACAGGCAAGAATCTCATGAACATCAGCACAAGAAATTTCCTGCTGGATACATACCTCAGGCAAGGGAAACAAAAGCAAAAATAAACAAGTGAGAGTACATCAAATTAAACAGCTTCTGCACAGAAAAGGAAACCACCAATAAAACAGCAACCTACTGTATGGGAGAATATACATACATACATTGCAAATGATACATCCAGTAAGAGCCTAATATCCAAAACACATAAAGAACTCATATAACTCAACACAAAAAAAACAAATAATCCAATTATAAAATGGGCAGACAAACTAAATAGACATTTTTCTGAACAAGACATACAGATGGCCAAGACATACATTAAAAGATGCTCAACATCACTAATCATCAAGGAAGTGCAAAGTAAAACCACAATGAGGTATCACCTCACACCAGTCCAAATGGCCACTATCCACAAGACAAGAAATAACAAGTGTTGGTGAGGATGTGGAAAAAAGGGATCCCTCCTACACTACTGGTAGGAATGCAAATTGATCCAGCCATTGTGAAGAGCAATATGAAGGTTCTTAAAAAAACTAAATACAGAAATATGACTCAACAATTTCACTTCTGGAAATTTACCCAAAGAAAACAAAATAACTAATTCAAACAACATTCACACACCTGTGTTCACTGAAGGATTATTTACAATAGCAAAGGTATAGAAGCAACCCAAATGCCCATCAACAGAAGAATGGATAAAAATGTGGTACATATACACAATGGAATATTAGCCATAAAAAAGAAATAATTCTTGCCATTTGTGACACACTGGACGTACCCAGAGGGTATTATCCTAAGTGAAATAAGCCAGGCAGCAGAGAATGACAAATGCCATATGATTTCACTTACATGTGGAATCTAGTAACAAAATGAGAACAGCAGTACACTCAAGAGACACTGAGAAGTAACTGGTGGTTACCATGGGGGAGAGGTCGGGGTCAGTGAGTAGGGTGCGTGAGGGGAATAAAGAGGCACAAAATCTCAATCCTAAATTGGGCCCAGGGATGGAAATGCAGAATGGAGAACACAGTCAATAGCTTTGTAACATCCTTCTATGTTGACAGATAGTGCACTAGTTGGGGTGAGGATTTAATGTATTTTAACTGCTGAATCACTCAGTATACTTGAAACCAATGTATTTATGATAAGTGTAAGGTTTTAAAGAAAAAAAAAATCTAGTGATTTTTACTGGTTATGTCATAAGAAGTAAGTCTGGTTAACAAAAGAAAATGCATATGAAGCCTAAAATATAATTAACCATATAAGCAAATACTTTTGCTCCTGGTTTTGTCAAATGCTTTTCCCTCAACAAAAAATTTGCCTTTTGCTACTGCAGTCTGGTCTGCACTCCCACCACTATACTACAAAACAACCCTTCTTCCATACCACAAAATTTAAAATCTGTTAACACTCATTTTACCTAAACATAGGCTCCTAGATGTTAAATACTGCCATCTTTTCAGATCTGAGCAGCAGAATGAAGAACCTTGAAGCTTAGCCAAATTTGCTTTCAATATTAAATATCAGGATCAAGTTTACCTGCAGCCACCTAATATGGAGGAACAATAACTATGGAAGATTTTTAAGACCTAAAAGGACAGACTTGTTCCTAAGAAGTACTCTGCTCTCTCAATATATGATCAAATGGGTACTATATGTTTCTTGAGGGTATTTCTTATATTATAAAGATGAATTTTGGTTTTTCCTTATTTACCCAGAATATGGTCTTATCTGTTCTTATCTCTATTTAATTTCCTATTATATAGGCAGTCCAATCCCAAAGCAGGCTCTCTTCTTCACACCTATAGTGCAGGGGGTGCAGGGGTTCCTTTAGAGAAAAAAAATAAGTAATGACATACACACAAAGAAAAAGGCATGTAGTCACATGTCCTAAAAAGCAATGCTTGAGGAACATATAATGATCATGTGACATTTGTACAGTTATATATTTAAAGAACTAAAAAAGATTTACTTGAAATTTCAGCTCAAAGAAACCAAAAGTTTTACTTTGTTTTACCTGGATATTGCAGCTTTTTCCATGATTTCCTGCTGAATGAGCCCAGATGGCTCAATGACATCCAATATAATTATACTCCATAACTTGTCTGATTTTGGCCTTTGCAACACAGCAGATTCATCTTCCACATGTCTCAACCAAAACTCAAGTGTTTCTCTAGGAAAGTGATTGGCTTCAGAAATGAGATCCAGAGTGATACGATGCTGGTCTTTCTCCACAGAACTGTAAGGTTTAACCTGCCCAAGTGTACCAGCAATTATAGGCAGAATAGAGAAGCCTTCAGACACATCTAATACATAGAAAGGTTCATGGACACTCTGTTCAGAAGTGGGTCCACTTCCACGGCTCATGTCATTATTCTGACAGTGGGAATCCATAGCCTGACACAGTTTCTCTGGAGTCAGTGAAGACAACACTTTCCTCATTGCCATTTTAAAGCCTTCATGATATGGGATGTTATTAAGCAAAGCAATTTCCGTGGATTCCAATAAACACATCTGCTCCACAGCACCTGGTTTACTGGTCTGAAGGTTAGCCAGGGCACTACAGAGTTCAGCCTCACTTCTAGAAGAGATCAAGTCTTTATTCTTGGTAAAACTTGTCCCAACATCCATTTCCTGTTCTGACCCCAAGACATTAATATTCTGGATTCTTAAGTAACAATCTTGACAGGACACTTCCATCATCACGTGGCTCCCAGGCTTTACACAGTATTCTTCATAAAACAGTATGAAAGAAAAAAATTATAACGATGACTATGAGGGTTTGAATCTGAGGATCACATAAACACCTCATCCTCCCCCAATTTTTAAATCACTACAGGAAGGATTACATCTACTGATTTAATAAAATTCAGTGAATCTACTTATTTCCTTTACTTAGGGAAAAACTGAAGTTTGCAGATTCAATTAATTTGCAGCATAATAAAGAGATCAAGAGCTCTATTAAAGGACCCTAACTATCAGTATTGTAATTTTTTTACTGCACACTAGGTATCATCATGTCCCCAAATTTGGGGGTGGGGCTTGGGGAATTGCTCAGGGGACTCTTAATCTTCTTTGGTAAGGAAGCCAACAATAACAAAGATAGATGAAATTCAGGGATTAAAACCAAAATTTACTTTAACTTAAAGGGATATTCTTTTCTCTAAGAAATTTCCAAAAGAACAGGGCAGCATTCAATAGAACCTTATCAGTAATATTTCTTAACTGCCATGTAGACATTCTTGAATATTCAGGAATTTGAAAATATAAGGAAAGATTAAGTCCTACAATAAAGACTGAATCATGCTATTATTATCCATGAGCTCTCCATTTGGTAAAATGTTAAAATGTAAATGCATAATCATAATTCCTTCCTATCAGCCCTTCAACTGGTTGAAAATACAAGTTCTTATTCTTGTGTTTACACATTTAAAATGCCCTTTCCCTAAGAAGAACTAAAAAAAAAAAAAAGACTATCTTCTTAGTATAAGAATTAGAACAAATAAACACAAATAAAAAATGCCACTTTTTGAGTGGCAGTCCCTATAGAGGTATTTTATATCCAATTATCTCTAATAATCCTACAATAATCCTGCATGATAGGCAGCAGTATCCTATTTTCATACATAAATGTTCTGAGAAATAACCAGTAAGGTCAGCAAGTAAGAAGTTAAGCCAAGATCTGAATCCAAATCTACCTGACTGACTCCAAAACATGAATACTAGCCACAATATACTGATGCCATGACTTAAAGACCCTGCCAAATTAGATCCTTGATTAGGAGACTAAACAGAAATAGAAATTTATTACTTTCAAGTTTAAGAAAGGTAGAAGTTTTCTATGTAACTGTGAGCTATATTGAAACCCAGCAAACAGCTGAGAAGAAAATATCTACACAAAAATATCTTGAATATTGAGTTTCCCCAGAGAAATACATGGATTCATGAACTTTTACCTAAAATTGCAAAATTTTTACTTATATGATGAGTGTGTACATTTCTATAACCGGTGGCTCCACAGATGCCATCAGATTCCGAAGTGGTAAGTACTCCTGCACTGAAAGTAGCATTTTTCCTGTGTTCCATAAAAAATGAACTAGCATTTCTCTTATCTGCTGATAACTAGTGATGAGAGCTGAAGAAATGACTTAATGGTAGGTATTTCTCAGTGGTATGCAGCAGAGTTGTGTTTTAGTCTCTCTTAACTACATACATTATTTAGAACTTAAAAAAAAAAGAAAATTCTGAAAGATTTAACCAATCTTCCTTGACTAGAAACTTCATATTCAAAGTAAATGTTTTGACACTGACTCAAATGCTTAGAGGATTAAAGCAACAAGTTTAAAAACAAACGAACAAACAAAAATCAGAAAAGCTATACCTGCAAGGTCATGTACAGGGTAGACAGCCTGTTCCCAACATGTTTCCTCACTGGGACTTGTGGATAAACTGTGTTCATCATCAAGCTGGAGTACAAACCAAACCACAATAGCATCTAGTATGCCTTCTTTAGTAACAGGAATATCAATTCTATCAGGTTTTTTAGTTGAGAGACTTTTTAGTTCCTGACAAAAATGTAAAAGGAGTAAGAGGATTTTAAACATTTAATATATAATGCCCAATATTATATCACTTTTCATTTCTGTAAGTTCCCAGTCCTGCCCAGCACCCTTAGGGGATCAGTATCCTGGCACCTGAAAATCATTTCAGGCACACTGGATGGGAAACACTGACCTATCATAGTGGAATACCATGCAGCTATTAAAAACAATGAAGCAGATATGTATTGCTGATGTAGAAGGAAGTCCATGACTTCCATACTGTTGAATGAAGACAGCCAGTGGCAAAGCAACAGAGACTGTTTTTAAAAAGTATGAGTGTGTGTGTGTGTGTGTGTGTGTGTGTGTGCACATATGTACTGTGTTATGCTGCCATTTCAGGTGCACACGTGCACACACACACACACACACACGCAGGAGAATGGAAAAACAAATCTGAAAAGATGCACTTCAAACTGGTGACCTAGAAAAAGAAGATCATAGATTTTAAAACAGGAAAAAGCATACTTTTCAAATTTTTCCTTTCTATTCTTCTGTATTACCTGAAAGTGTTAAACAGGCATTTATTACTTTCAAAATTAAAGCCTTAATAACATGTTTTTTCTTACTGTAGCAAAGAAAAATTGAAGTAAGAAAAGCTTCAAAAGTAAAAAGATACATAAAATAACAAAGGGATAGCTTTGGGGTATTGAGCAGCTATAATCTTGTTCCTCATTAGCACGTGGAGCTCAGCTTCAGTAAACAATGTCAAAGTGTTAACTTAGACCCAGTCCTCCTCAAGAAAAACCTAGTATCAGTACATAGGGAGAAGCTTTAAATTTTCTATTTTAAGCTAAAATAACCTTCACAAAGTCTTCTGTCCCCAGGCTGTTTTCATCTAAAAAACTTATGTACTTGAACATTTAACCTTACTTACAGGTATTCTGAGGACTCTATATATCCTTTCTCAATTTTCCTGGGCACTCTGCACAGTACATTAGGTATTTTATATCCAATTATCTCTAATAATCCTACAATAATCCTGCATGATAGGCAGCAGTATCCTATTTTCATACATAAATGTTCTGAGAAATAACCAGTAAGGTCAGCAAGTAAGAAGTTAAGCCAAGATCTGAATCCAAATCTACCTGACTGACTCCAAAACATGAATACTAGCCACAATATACTGATGCCATGACTTAAAGACCCTGCCAAATTAGATCCTTGATTAGGAGACTAAACAGAAATAGAAATTTATTACTTTCAAGTTTAAGAAAGGTAGAAGTTTTCTATGTAACTGTGAGCTATATTGAAACCCAGCAAACAGCTGGGAAGAAAATATCTACACAAAAATATCTTGAATATTGAGTTTCCCCAGAGAAATACATGGATTCATGAACTTTTACCTAAAATTGCAAAATTTTTACTTATATGATGAGTGTGTACATTTCTATAACCGGTGGCTCCACAGATGCCATCAGATTCCGAAGTGGTAAGTACTCCTGCACTGAAAGTAGCATTTTTCCTGTGTTCCATAAAAAATGAACTAGCATTTCTCTTATCTGCTGATAACTAGTGATGAGAGCTGAAGAAATGACTTAATGGTAGGTATTTCTCAGTGGTATGCAGCAGAGTTGTGTTTTAGTCTCTCTTAACTACATACATTATTTAGAACTTAAAAAAAAAAGAAAATTCTGAAAGATTTAACCAATCTTCCTTGACTAGAAACTTCATATTCAAAGTAAATGTTTTGACACTGACTCAAATGCTTAGAGGATTAAAGCAACAAGTTTAAAAACAAACGAACAAACAAAAATCAGAAAAGCTATACCTGCAAGGTCATGTACAGGGTAGACAGCCTGTTCCCAACATGTTTCCTCACTGGGACTTGTGGATAAACTGTGTTCATCATCAAGCTGGAGTACAAACCAAACCACAATAGCATCTAGTATGCCTTCTTTAGTAACAGGAATATCAATTCTATCAGGTTTTTTAGTTGAGAGACTTTTTAGTTCCTGACAAAAATGTAAAAGGAGTAAGAGGATTTTAAACATTTAATATATAATGCCCAATATTATATCACTTTTCATTTCTGTAAGTTCCCAGTCCTGCCCAGCACCCTTAGGGGATCAGTATCCTGGCACCTGAAAATCATTTCAGGCACACTGGATGGGAAACACCGACCTATCATAGTGGAATACCATGCAGCTATTAAAAACAATGAAGCAGATATGTATTGCTGATGTAGAAGGAAGTCCATGACTTCCATACTGTTGAATGAAGACAGCCAGTGGCAAAGCAACAGAGACTGTGTTTTTAAAAAGTATGAGTGTGTGTGTGTGTGTGTGTGTGTGCACGCACACGTGCACACACACACACACGCAGGAGAATGGAAGAACAAATCTGAAAATATGCACTTCAAACTGGTGACCTGGAAAAAGAAGATCATAGATTTTAAAACAGGAAAAAGCATACTTTTCAAATTTTTCCTTTCTATTCTTCTGTATTACCTGAAAGTGTTAAACAGGCATTTATTACTTTCAAAATTAAAGCCTTAATAACATGTTTTTTTCTTACTGTAGCAAAGAAAAATTGAAGTAAGAAAAGCTTCAAAAGTAAAAAGATACATAAAATAACAAAGGGATAGCTTTGGGGTATTGAGCAGCTATAATCTTGTTCCTCATTAGCACGTGGAGCTCAGCTTCAGTAAACAATGTCAAAGTGTTAACTTAGACCCAGTCCTCCTCAAGAAAAACCTAGTATCAGTACATAGGGAGAAGCTTTAAATTTTCTATTTTAAGCTAAAATAACCTTCACAAAGTCTTCTGTCCCCAGGCTGTTTTCATCTAAAAAACTTATGTACTTGAACATTTAACCTTACTTACAGGTATTCTGAGGACTCTATATATCCTTTCTCAATTTTCCTGGGCACTCTGCACAGTACATTCTCCCACCACCCACCAACACACAAAGATATACTAGGGCAATCAATATATTGTGGTTTGTCCAAGACTGTCCTTGTTTTAAAAGTGAAAATCCCACGTTTCAGGAAACTCTCAGTCCTGGGCAAACTGACACGTTTGGTCACCTAATATACATATAACCTCAAGACCTGGATTACTGTTCATTTCAAAGAATACTGTTCACCTGAAATGGCAGCATAACACAGAGAAAGTCAGCAAGATGCAGGTTACATCTCCTGCCCCTGCACTCACATGCTGCATAATTTGGGGGTATTAATGTACACAACAATTCCCTCATCTGTATAGTACAAGGATAATTTTAACTGTACTGCAATACTGTTGCCAGAGCAACCTAAGGACACATGTGAAAGCACCTGACACACACATTCCCAACTTAGCAATTGTTTTTCTCTGTATTTAATACAAGTGAATAACTTTAGGAGGGAATTCTGGTTACCGATGGCTCATTTTCTTTACATATAGTAAGTGGAATCCCATGCAAATTCATAAAATAAGACTGTCCTATATATTGTTTTAAACAATGCATAAAATATAATGCTCAAAAATAAAAATTTAACTTTTTTTTTTTTTTACCTGAAGATTGTTGAAATCTATTGTCATAATTTCAAAGCACTCTGTCAAAGCCAAAAATCCCCCAGGAACTCGACTCATCTTTTCAGTTGTATAAGGTTCAATAGTTTCTTCAGTATCTACAGAAGAATAGGCTGGACTCTGAAATTTCACATTTGTTGGTAAACAAACCCCAGCAATGTCCTTAATACACACCCTGGTGAGAAGGGAAATGAGAGGGTAAAGGGAGAAAGATGGTCTTTTTGCTCTTGTTTTTCAGAATCAAGTAACCCATCTAACGTTGAGTCCAGAAAAAATAAACATAGAAGTGAAATAAAACTTCATAAAGACTTCTTAAATACAATTACATTGAATCATCACTAACTATAAAGGAAAACAGATAAGAAGTCTTACGTTAAAATTAAGAATCCTGCTCATCAAGATACCCAGGAATAAAGTAAAAAGGCAAGCCACTGAGTAGAAGAGATTTATAATATATTCATTCAACAAAGGGCTTATATCCAAAATTAATAAAAGAGAAAAAAAAAAGGGCAAAAGATTTTAAACAGACTCTTCACAAAAGAACATATCCAAAGGGCTAATAAGCAGATGAAAAGTTGCTCAGCTTCACTAGTCATCAGGGAAGTGAAGTTAAAATCATACTACACAACCACCTTCGGGAAAATGAATCAGTCAATACCAAGTCTTGGTGAGGATGCAGCCCCATACACTACAGGTTGGAGTATAAAATAGTAAGACCACTTTGGAAGCCTTTCACTGTATTTTTTCAAGCTGTACCCATTCCAGATTCACTCTCACTAGGAACCTCAAGGTATTTTGCATTTCCACTTTGGGGGCTGTTCATATACTCAAATGCCAAAAGAATGTTTATAGCTGTACTATTTCCAATAAACAAAAAACTGGATATAACCTAAATATCCATTAACAATAAAATGGACAAACATGTTGTGGTGTATTCATACAGTGGCATGCTATCCAGCAATGAGAATGAGCAAACCACACACAAGAACGTGGATGTGTTAGACAAAAGAGGCCAGGCACAAAACATTCCATACTGTATGATTCCATCTGTATGAAATTTAAAACAGGCAAAACCACCTGCGGTTTTAAAAGTGAAGAGAGTGTCTACTTGTAGGGAGTTAAGGTGCCAATAAGTGGAAGGGGATTCCTTCTTGGGGACTTTCAGGGATGGTGGTAATGCTCTGGACTTTGATGTGAGCACAGGCTACACAAGTGTAACAATATCATGAAAACTCCTCAAACCATAAATTTATGGTTTATGCACTTGCTATAATAGCGTCTGATTTAGTAATATTTTGTTTAAGGAAATACTTCAACCTCATCTTGAAGGCATTCATTTATTAGTCTATCTGCCTTGATATGGTTTCAGAAGTTTGAATAGACTACTTCTAGAAACAATTTTATTATACTCTCAAGATGATTAATCAAACAGAACCATTAATGATCTTAATAACTAAAACTCAAAAGTCACAAGTTATAGAAATAAAAAGAATATGACAAGTTCCTTTTAATTTCTTATAAAATACTTGAATATCAACTTACTGTCAAAACTTCAAATATAGTAAAAAATCAAAGTCTACCTTCACAGTACCCTTTATCTCCATTTCTTCATTGTTGAAAGTTTGATCCTTTCATACCTTTCTCGATATTTGTGTGATCATATGTATGTATATTACTCACACAAACACATTATACTATTTTCCTCTGTTCTTATTTTGAAAATGATTTCAAATTTATAGAGAAGTTTCTAGATAGTCTAAAGAACTCTCACATTCTTTAACCAAGTTCATCAAATTTGTAAATATTTTGCCACATTTGTTTATCATATTCTCTCTCTTTCCATAGTCTTTCTTCTGAATCACTTGAGTAGGTTGCATTCATTCATCTTACCCATGTATCCATTGATACTTCACTGTATCTTTACCACAAATGAGGATATTTTCTTAATTACAAGTTATCAAATTCAGTATTATGTAATATTGTCATTTTTTCATTTGACAACTGAATCAATAAATCAAAAAGTCCTATATAATAAAACTGTTTCTAGAAGTAGTCTATTCAAACTTCTGAAACCGTATAAAGGCAGATAAACTAATAAATGAATGTCTTCAATATAAGATGAGGTTGAAGTATTTCCTTAAACAAAATGTTGTTGTTAAATCAGACGCTATGTTCTTCCTGACACAGGATCATGATTTCAATTGAGCTGTCCGGTATTTCTAATGTCCTTTAATCTGGAACAGTTCTTCATCCTCGCTTTTTTGCTCAAGATACTGACATTTTTGAAGAAGGTAAATGAGTTATTTTATAGAATGGGCCTCAACTTGGGTTTGACTGAGTTTCCTCACAATTACATAGTCATATATTCTGGATGTAATACTACGTAAGTGACATATGCTCAAAATATCACATCTGAGGGAATCTTACTGGTAATGTTAGTTTTGATCACTAGGTTAAGATGATGCATTGTTTCTTCCCTGTATATTAACATTTTTTCTTTTGTGGTAATTTGTGAGGAGATACTCTAAAACTATATGAATACCCTGATCTTCATCCAACGTCCCCTCTGATTTAGCATCAACTCATAATTCTTGCCTGCAACTTTACATGAGGATTGCAAATAGTAATTTTGCATCATTTGTTCAATATTCTCAAACAGCATTCTGTTAGATTAATAGAAGGACAATTCTTCCTATTTATTAAAAGCAGGTACTCATGGATTTTTATTTTATTCAATAGGTTTTGATCCCTAACTGCCATTATGTAATTTGGTGCTTAAGTTGTCCCAGATTTGGCCAGTAGAGACCCTCCCAAACAGGTTTCTATGTCCCTTTAGCCACACTCTTATTTTTTTTTGAGCACTTCCTTAATTTCTGACTCAAGATATTCCACATTTATCTTGAATCTGTCCTGCTCCAGTCCTGGAGGCAGCTGTTTCTCCAAGGAGTTGTAGTTCCTTTTGGTGAGAAATGTATGTAGAAACCAAGATCTGAGTGCTAGGTATGTTCATTTCTCCTAGGATTACACCTTGTTTTTTTCAATTACTATCCTGAACTTCTTTCCATGTAGTTCTGTACATGTACCTTAACTAATTTTCTTCAACACTTGCAAAAAGTGAATTCACATTGGGTCAATGTTTTATCAAAATTTATTGAAAATTTTTCTTATTAATATAACACTCAAATAGTTTGTTTCTGTTTTTCTGATTAGTGTTACAGTAAGTGCCCCTGTATACTTATCACTGCAAACATTTTGAGTACTTATCAGTATAGATTACAACAAGTGGAAATGGTAGGTCAAAGACCATACACATCTTCAGTTTTGTTAGATAATGTCAAATTGAGCTATTAAAATGTTGCACCAAAAGTGTATACATTTTCCCCACACTTAGGAGAAAACAGGGTATCAATCATTTTTAATGCTTACTAATATAAGCAGTTAAAAAATGTTATTCTATTAATTTCCATTTATCTGACAATTTTATTAATGCTTTGTTTGTAAAAGTTGACAATATTTATCTCAGTCTTTTAACTTTATCTTTCACCAGATAGAATTTTTTCCAATTTTGTTTTAATGTGGAAAAAAATGTAACCAAGAAGCTTCTGTAACTAAAAAAGTATAATATCACATTCTCATCTGTATCCTATTTGACAACTAAATCTCAAAATCTCATGTTATTCCATTCAACCACAAAACAGTATAACAACAATAAGGTTATTAAGAAGGAAATGGGAGAAATAAAAACTAAAATTATTTTTACATTAGAAATCTTTCACTTGTGTCTAATATCAGTCTGAACTTAACATTTTTCTACATGAATCTATCACACATCATAAGGATACTGAGTTGCATCAATATTAATTTTCCACTAAAAAATCAAAAGCTGGTTTTAATCCTGGAATTGTATTTTAAAAGAAAAGAAAAAGAAAAAAGTTAAAGAAAATGAGGACTGGAATAAACATCATGAATTTAATCATCAGAAAAGTCAAATTCTCAGCTAAATATTTACTAAATAACCTTTGAAGTACAATCAGCTCCTGAAAATTACTGTTTTTTTTTTTAATATTTACTACTACAAGAATCACGTACCTATGATGTCTTCTTATCTCAGCACATTCTACTGCCATTCCAAATATAATAGCACCTGCCGGTATAACTTTCCCATATTTTTCACAATTATCATTCTCACCTTTGGTCTAAAAATGTAACAATAAAAAATAAAATTAAGTGACATATATGCAAAAATATATATGACAAGCTATGAAAATTAAAAGAAAAAACAATAGTTGAGAATAAGCAGGTTAAGGACTTTTTAAAAAGTTAGTTTTATTAACTAGATTTATTATGGTGATCATTTCACAATATATCTAAATATTAAATCATTATGTTGTATACCTGAAATTAATGTTATGTCAGTTATATCTCAATAAAGTTTATTTTCATTACTATATATGTGTATCTGTGTGTGTATGTATTTTTTTCTTCAGCAGCACAAATAGGAAGGAAGGGAGGGGGAAGCTCTAAGTCTGCATATGAAAGACTCCTGGGTATGAATTTAACTGTGAAGCCTACATCACCAAGCAGTTGAAAAACAAACTGCTCTTCTTGTCAAACTTTAATTAGTTATTTTAAATCCAAAACATTTTCTGTAAGTAGTGAATTCTTACTACATGTTAAAATCCTTTCATTCATAATACATATTATAAAAATCAAATCTACAACTTGTGGCCCACAGTAGAGGATTTCATTGCAAAATATAATTTTAGGAGTTAGCCCTATCCATTAGTAGCCTGGGTTCCACTGGTACCTTAAAACCATACCAAGCCAATCATTCCTACACTCCCTTCAGATGTTTTACCAAAAACCCAAGCTGTGAGACTGAAGTACTTCTCTTTCTCAAGTCTACTCAAGAACTTGCAGTCAGTCCCTCCACAGTGTAACCTCAATTCCTACGAATTCACTGCTGGACTATTTTGGGGTACAAAAGTATACACTGCAATGTTATTAAATTTTTTGCACAGATTTCTTTCCATCTACACAGTATGTGCCTTGACATTAGGATGGATTCATACTGCTTTGCAACCATGCTAGGGGCTCAATAAATATCTATTGAGTTCTTAATCAAATTTAAATGTTTTCATGCTGCTTACCTTTGGCGGCAAAAGCAAATGCTCCCATGCATGAATCAAACTCTCCACAATTCCTTCTCCAAATAAACCTGCATCGACAGTTTCTGTTACAACTAGGGACACTCTATAGAATGATTTTTTAGAGACATATGTAAGTAAAATATCATGCTATTGATATAAAGATGTCAAAGCTGAGAGAAGAAAGGAAGAGTGTATTATAGAAACAGTCCATATACAAAATTTCCTAATACATTTCATTTTTAATATCCTTAAATCTTAAGGAACTGGACTCTACAGCTCCTCAGATTCTCTG